ACAAAAGGGAACAAAAAATTTTATTAAGCCCGTTTAAAAGTGCAACTTCGGGAATTTGTCTACATGTTAATGCCCCCAGCCTCTCTCTATGACCCCCAAGTATGCTGAAACACACTATCTATGGTAATGGAGACCGTTTGGCGTCAGGTGGTTTGTCAATAGGGAAGAATGGGCCTCTCTGGGCCTCTTTAATTGGATTGTCTTATTTCGTTCATTTGTATCTTTTTATTTCCCACGACAAAAGAAAACGGCAATCATCTTTTCCTTTTTGTGGACGGAAAAAACAAGCCCTTTGTTCCCACAATTGACGGATCATGTTTCTGGGAGCTAACGGTCATTATCTTGATGTGAAGCTACAAAATAATGACAGGCCCAGAACAAAAGCAAAAGGACCTAAAGTAGGCCTAAAGAAGGAATCAAAGAGTCCACCGCCTAGAATATAGTTGCTGTTTGGCCCGATACTGAACTAGATATCACTTGGCATATTGGAGATGGTAAGACAACTAGATTCTGGGTTGATCACTAGGTAGGAGAAATGGGTCCTCTCAAATGCCTCACTTTCTCAGATGTGTCAGACTCTGAACTTAACAAGATAATTGGCGACTGCGTTACTAGCTAGAGAGAATGGAGCGGGATTAAATTCAAGCACCTGCTTCCAACAAGCCTGAATTTACAAATTGCTGGAACTAGCCCCCCTCAAAAACTTCATTCAAATGACTTGTGCTATTGGAATCTTACTACCAATAGAGCTTTCACAGTTAATTCTGCGTATCAAGCCAATCAACAGCTTGATTGTGAAAGTCTTAGCAAATGCTGGAATTGAATGTGGAAGTGGCCTGGTGTTCAAAGGATTCGCACTTTCTTTTGGCTAGCCAAGAAGAACAAATTCTTTTCTAATGCAGAGCGATTGAGAAGAGGCATAACCATGGAAGGAACTTATAGTTGAGGACCTTGAGCACATTCTCCGGTTTTTGTCCCACAACAAGAGCATGCTGGCTGCAAATACTACCCCACGACAAAACCCACGAATTCTTCTCCAAACCTTTTGAAGACTGGCTACTTTGGAATCTCAATCCTCAATGCATGGGCACTCATTGGAGGCTCAATTTTGGTATGTTATGTTGGAAACTTTGGAACAACCGAAACAAGCACAGATTTGCTGATGATTCTCTTTTCCCAAAAAACATAATTATTTTTGTCCAATCTTTTGTTATTCACACCTCTAACGCAAGGAGGCTCTTAAATGCTGTTATTAGCTCTAACTAATTGTTTGCATGTTTAATCTTGACTTCTTGTACATATTTTAGGAATACATCCTCTTTTCCACTCAAAAAAAAAAAGAGTCCATCGCCTTGCAACTTCTGTCATGAGGCCCACATTTGAGGCCCATGAGCCATGCCACATCATCTAATCTAAATAATACTCCTCCGGTCCTAATTATAAGACCCAATTGACTTATTTGAGGAAATTAAGGAAGTAAGTTAAGTTGGTTATTTATAATAAATAAGTGTTGTCATTCCTAAAATATCCTTGCTAATTAAGTATATTGGCTAAAACTATCATTATTAGAAGGATTATCTTGGAAAAAATGCATAAATATAAGAGACAAAATGGATTGGGTCTTATAATTAGGACCAATAAAAGTCAAATTGGGTCTTATAATAAGGACCGGAGGAGTACTACCTTCGGTCCTTAATATAAGACCCCGTTTAACTTTTAGTTTGGTCCTAATTATAAGACCCCAATCCATTTTGTCTCTTATATTTATGCATTTTTTTCCAAGATAGTCCTTCTAATAATGATAATTCTAACCAACACTACTTAATTAGTAAGGATATTTTAGAAATGATAACACTTATTTGTTACAAATAACTAACTTAACTTACTTCCTTAATCTCCTCAAATTAGTCAACTGGGTCTTATAATTAGGATCGGAGGTAGTAGTATAATATTTTAACAAAGTTTAATGCAGAGTACTTGGTCCTATTAAGATAACAGGTTGATGAAATGAATTTTCTTTATTTGGGTTTGATTTAACCATGGGAGCCCTTGATGGCGGACCATGAAGAGCCACACGTGTGTACTACAGACGTGCAGATAAGAGCGCGGTGGATGTGCACGGTGAATGGGATTCCAGAGCCATCAAGTTGCATTTTGAGCCTCCTACGTGCAGGAGCCACTGTGATTCTTCCCACAAACCGCCGGGCCCATTCACATGCCCGCCGCCCCAGCATGCTGCTCTCGGGAGTTATGGAACACAAGACACTGCACAAATAATAACAATAACAATTAAAAAAAAAAAGGGATTTGATGATAATGGTGAAGAGTAATTTGACTTATTGCCTATGATAGCTTTTCAAATTTGAAAAAGGAAGCTTCAAATTAAACTTCTTAAGAGGTGAGTGTTATTGCAGCAAGGAGCGATCAGCGCAGGACATGTTAGTTGGTGTGCGTGCTTCATAGGTAATTGATTCGTGCCTTATACTTCCAGTTATTGTTTTGAAAAGTAAACCAAACCAGGGAAAAAAAAATGATCATGTTCACTGTTCACGTCTAACTCATGAATAAAACAGTGTCGTGCTTCATTGGTACATTTCTTTTTTTTTTTGTAGGAACAGCTTGTTTTTTTTTTTTGACCGGAGTAGGAACAGCTTGTTTAGAGCATATGCGTGTTGTTTTTTTTTTGGGACAGCAACTGTATACCCATTAATCACAAAAGAAGCAAAGTCAAGGTTACAAACAAAAAATGGGAGTTTCTTTCATCATCATCCATCTCTCATTAAGAAAGATAAAATGCGATCAAAGATATAATAATTTCTTTCCATCCTACTCCCTTCGTTCTTTATTATAAGAGACAAATAACTAAATTACGTTGATAAAAAAAACAGTTAAAATTAGTTGAGGACAATTAATGTTTAAAAAGTATAATGTTTTTTCCAACAATGCCCCCATTAATAAGGAGAGAGAGTATGAGAGAGAACAATTAAATTATTAAAAGAAAGATAAGTGGGAGGGAGAGAGAGTACGAGTTGGAGAAAAAATAAATAGGGATAAAATAGGAAATCAATACAAAGAAATAGAAACAACTTTTAAGTGTCTCTTATATATGGGAACATGCCATAAGCATCAAATGTCTCTTATAATAAGGAACAGAGGGAGTATTTGATAACTTGGCAAGGTGATCAGCCATAAAATTATTTTATCTATGAGTGTAATAGATCGTCACCTCCTAATCCTTATACAAAAGTAATATGGCTTCATCAACAAGATCTCTAAAAGAGCGTGTAGGATCACAGTCCCTATGCAAATAATTAATAATATCAATATAATCAGAGTAGACAAAGACATTCCTATAGTTTCTATACCAGCACAGGTTAAGACCATAAATAATTGCTATAAATTCTGCCATAGCCGAAGGCACCGCGGTAATCTTGCAATTAAAACCACTTATCCACCTCTAGTTTTTATCTCTAAGCACTTCTCCGCATCCGCTCTTTCCTCCTTCAATGATAGAGCCATCCACTTCTTGTCTTGTTGCATTATTTGGAATGGGTACCCTCACTTCTTCCTCTATTTGGGCAGCATTGTACAAGTTGCTTCTCCTCAGAAGCTCTTGGTCTGCAACTGCTCTGAAGAGGCTGCTGTTTACATTCTGATGGGGTAAGCTTGTTTCTACTCCAAAGAGTTTGTTACATCTAGGAAGTCCAGATGTCCCGCATACACGTGTATGTTAAAGATGAGTAAGTAAACACAGGGTCAAAGTATAAATTTCAATATCTTATTTGTTTATTTATTTTCTGCATTTATCAGATAAGTTGATCGTCCTGCAGTAGGCAGAACCAATCCTTATTCTCCCTAGCTTCCGATTCCAATTGCAACTCGGGGGCCCATTATCATTTACTCATATCCTGCTCCAATGCCCTCCGTACACTCACAAATTCACGCAACTAAGTGTAAATTTTAATGCCATAACCACGAAAGAGATAGATAGTGGGGAAGGGGAAGGTGTATAATTCCGAAATATGTAGACTTGATACAGAGCCACTCTCCCTTGTCTTTCTCACTTTGAAATTTGAATTTGTGAATATAACAACTGAGAGGATCAATCTGATTTAACTGCGCAACTTGTTTGCAGGATGAAACAGGACGTCACCAGGAAGTAGCTTGTGTCAATTCTTGAAAGTTGGCAACGTATGAATCAGCTGTAAGGTCTCTTAATAATAGCCATATTTAGGAAAGCTTCAAATCATGAGGATTGATAATGAAACCAATGTGAAGCAATGTGATCAAATTTAGGTTGTTAATCTAAGAATGCCTTGAAGAACGACTTGCCAGTTATTCATATGTTTCTCCAACAATAATGTTGGCGCTGCTGATCTAATTCCAGCCCGACAGGCCGACACCCACCAGACAGTAGAATTGCAATCAAAGAACTCTGGTTAAAAGTGCGTAATCCTCGTTTCCCTGAAATGTTCTTGTACTTAAAAAATTTAGGCTTTTCAACATTTAGGTTTCATGTTTAATCAGTACGGAGATGAATTTTGTTGCTCCCAAAACTCCTCAGTTCTTCCTCAAGCAAAACTAGAAGCAGAGGGGGATACATTAGAACTACGAACATGATAACTACGGGCAACCAAAACCAAAAAGATACTATGAAACACAGCTTATTTTTAATCGATTAACTTTAACCGCGTTTCTCAGTTAGAACTATGCTGCTTGTCGTAGGGAAGCAACCCATATGCAATAATTGATTGCTCCTCTGACACAAGCGAGTAATTTGGATATTATTCAGATATGTTTACTTTCTCATGAACAGAGCTTCACCTTCAAAATCTCCTCTTTGGATCTTCCCTTGACTATATAGAGAAGATTAATAATGGATGTCATTAAACAAGCATGACGCATGCCTGTCCGTCATCATATATGCATAGCTGGGAAAATCTTAGCGACCTTTAACCTTTCACTCTTCCGTGCACATTTAATTTATCAGTATTCACGGGTGAAGAAAAAACTTTGGGTCAGGCCATAGATTGATACAAAGTTGCAAATCTACATAAAGTCTAAATACAGGTGAGAGAGAGGGCTAAAAACTGAAAATAAGAACAAGGGAAACAGGAATTAGGAAGATTCCTAGTGCCTCCAGACAAAAACAAAGGCCACAACAATCCTGACTAGTACTGCACAGTCTAAAAGGACCTCTCACCATGACCATTAAACATAAAAACATGACCTAAAGCCCCAAAAAAAAAAAAAAAACCTCAATAATAAAGATCAGTGTTCGTTTACACTAAAGTAAACGGCCCTCACTAATCTAGAACTAGGATCCTGATTTGGGAAGATGCCTTTTTTAATTCGCAAGAACTTCCCAGATTAACTCGGGGTCGAAGGAAGGCATCCTTGCCAGGGAACAGCCTTCGAATTCCGATTCCCCTGTTACCATTGGCTGGAAATCGGTTGAAACAGTGGACGGCGAGTTCTCGCCCTTCCATATTCCGTCTTCTGAAATCGTCGGTGAAATAAACTCGTTTGTCCAGGTATCGTCGAAAACTAATGGGGATAAGGGTAGCGAGGATGATGAACAAGAGGACGAGTCTATCTTGTGTGATTTCTCGCTCTGTTCGGGGCTGGGATTGGGCTTCTTGGCGCTCTTCTTCTTGGCTTTCTCCCTCTTCACCTTCTGGCAGATAGCCTGAATCTTAGCATCCACAGAGGTCTTCAAAGCATTCAATCTGGAGCTATCTCCGAATCCCAACTTACTGGGGTCCTTTAGATTCGGGAAATTCAAACGAGCATATTCGCCTCGGAGCTTATAAGCGGCACGATCGTACGCATAAGCAGCGGCTTCGGCAGTTTCGTAAGTGCCTAACCACACTCTCATTCTGTTCTGGGGAAGTCTGATTTCTGCAACCCATTTTCCCCAGTGTCTCTGTCTCACTCCCCTGTATAGCTTTTTTTTGCAGGGGTTCATGTATGATGAGTACGATGTTGCTCCTGCATAGTTTAGACGTTGATTTGTCGACGATAGACCACCAAATGAACTGCTCACTCGGTTGTCCTCGTAGAATTTCTGCAGAATGTCTCTTTGACGAAGGTACACCGACGAGCCCAGAGGATCAAAACCGCACGAGCTTAAGGCCTCGAACATGGGGTTGCTTGTGGCGTTTGTTTGGGGACAGTGAGAGAAAATAGAATCCAGGGGGTTCGTCCCACCTGATAATATCAGATTTGAGAGAGACGACCCTATATCAGCAATGTTATGCGGTTCAAGCTGAGCACCTCTCTCCTGAAATCCGTCCATGATTCCGGCAAAACTTCCTAGTGAGATTCTACGAAAAGAAAAGTGGTCGGGAAGAAGAACACTAAAAAGCTGGTTCCTCTTCCAAAGAAGAAAGAAAAACAGGGTAACAACGCTTCAAATGTGAGAGAGGTGAGGAAAACAGGAATTGGGTGTTTTCCCAAGTTAAGGCAGAGGAGGCTAAATGATGGTTATGAAAACTTGAGAAGGAAGTGATCCCGAAAAAAAGTGAGGATCAAAGAGGGATTGTGAGGGAAATACAGAGAGCATAAGAAAGCAGAGGAAGGAGGAGAAGGAAGAAGATTGGAAATTTTTGTGGGGCTTGAAGGCAAGAATCGGAGTTGCGGTGCACTACGCTTCCCATGTGGTGTATTTATAAGAGCTTGCTGGGGATATTTAACTTCAGCGAACGCGAATCCCCGTTCACAACTACGCCTCCTAAATCACCTTCAATATGACTAAAATGCCCTGTTCACTGTTCAGAGCTATCTTTTTTCCCCCCTAAAAAAAATTGATTTCTTGGTACACTTTTTTTATTTTAGCGTACATATTTGATACTTTTTGAATTTTTAATCCAGTGTCAATGAAATGGCTGGTTATGCTGAATTTCCTCTTTATGGCTGCTGATAACGGATAGTATATAATCTAGTACGGCCTTTTCAATTGAGACTAAAAATTAAAGACCACATGACTACATTGATGACCAATGCTTAATATAAACAGACTAATTTAGATATGCACCTCTCACCATAATGTATGATGAGAATTAACTTATGCATTCAGTCCAAAAAAACACTTATATATTATGGTGCCAAGGCAATACCAATATCACGAAATAGCAAAATATGTTAGCTTGAGAGATACTTCCTCCGTTCCTTATTATAAGAGACATTTGATGCTTATGGCATGTTTCTATATATAAGAGACACTTAAAAGCAATGATTAAAGAACCGGACCGGACCGGATGGTCGGACCGGTTGAACCGTCACCCGGACTCGTTAACGGCTCGGTTTGGACCAAAAAACCGTTCACATAGTTGAGCCGGATTGGACCGGAGTTGAGCCGTTATTAAGCCGGAAACCGGAGTTGGACCGGGAACCGGAACGGTTTTCAGAAAACCGGACGGTTTTTTAGCCTGACTGAAAAATACTAAAAAATTTTAAAAAAATAGAAGAAAAATAAAAAATTGATCCCCTTAAATATCCTAATATATTTTTAGACTAGTTATAACCATATAGTATTATTTCATTGAAAATTTCATATATTGTGGTGTTAAAATTGTGAGTCGCTAGTCTTTTGTTTCGATATTTGATCTATCTTTTAAAAAAATATTTTGATTTGAATGAATTGATAATTTGTAATATCATTAAATATTTTAAACATACATAAAATTAAATATATAAGGTTTTAGTCCATTTTCAATGATTTTATTATAATTTTAGATTATTTAAATGCATTTCTAAATTATTTAATAATTTGATATTTTTCATATATACTAATTATATGTATATAATATTTTTTTAAATTAATTATTGTGTCACCGGTCTGACCGAACGGTCCGACCGATCCGACCGATTGAATCATGACCCGTTGATCTTTCCGGTTCGACTTCCGGTCCGGCTTTTAAAACATTGCTTAAAAGTTGTCTCTACTTTTTTTGTGTTGATTTTCTATTTTACCCATATTTATTGTCTCCAACTCACACTTTCTCTCCCTCCCACTTCTCTTTCTTTCAATGATTTAATTGTTCTCTCTCATACTCTCTCCTTATTAATGAAGGCATTTTTGGAAAAAAATTATATTTTTTACACATTGATTATTCTTAACTAATTGAAACTGTTTTTTTGATCAACGTAATTCTGTTATTCGTCTCTTATAATAAGAAACGAAGGGAGTAATAATATAAAGAACTATTATAAAATTGGTTGTTAAATTGTTAAGAATATAAACCACTATAGGAGTTCTATTATCAGTGTTTGTATAAATTGCTCCCAATAATTTAAGGAAAACTTGTTGGCACTGTTGACAAAGGATGATGTTGGGATCAAATCATCGGGGCATGATGATGGCGGTGATGATAATAAACAATACTTGGTGCTGGTGCTTTCCCAATTTAAAGGAGAGCGAAAAAAAGTAAAGGGCAGTATGGTAATCGGAGGAGAGGCTGGGAAGCAAAAAGTCAAAATGGGAGAAAGTGAGTACGGGGGAGGGCAAAAATGAGGAGTGAATTATTGAGAGAGAGAGTTGGGTGGAGATTGAAGTCCGTGTGGTCCCAATGTGTCCGTACCAGTGATCTCTTGATATCAGAAAAAAGGCTACTTTTGTGATTTATTGCGGAGAGAGAGAGAAAGGGAAGTCAGAACCCAGAAGCCTCACCCTGCTCTGCTTATCCATTATAGCCAGTCCTTTTCTTCTTCCATCCCTCCCCTTGCCACGCGTCTCTTCTCCCCCCTAAAGTTGTCTTTCCCCTTTTCTTTTTTACTTTCCTCACCGTCACCGTCGTTGCAAAGTATTTCACTTTCACGGCTGTCACTCTGAAGTCTGAACAACGTGAATGAATATTAATGGCTCAAAAGGTAGCCTCTTTCCCAGTTTGCGGTTAGAATGTTAGATACCCATTTGTAATTTTGAAGGAATCATGGCCATTGGTAAGAACTAAGACGAAAACCAAGACTTATTTAGTGGTCTCGTCTCGTGGTCGTCATCAGGTAGCTAGCTAAGCTTGTTAGGTTTGACGTGCTAATGGAAATGCTACGATTACTTGCAGCTTAAGGCCAAAACACATTTAATCACCTCGAACGACAATGGGAATCAAATTGCGTATGGCTGCTTCAACTTCATTTGCCTCTATTCCAATACAAGCGAGCAATATGGATCCACATGAAACGAATACGTACGATCCATCTAGCTTTTCGTATTTACATTCTATTTGATGCCAGCAAAGCAGTAACATACGTGTCCCGCATGTTACACTCAAATAGAAACATGGAAATTAAATGCGTTAGTGACGCTTTCAAACTTATTTCCCCCTGAGAGGATTAGGAGTGCTGGGAGGTAGTCAAATTAGCCCGAAAAATAGTTTTTTTCGCTCGATAATGATAAATAAACTCAATCATTGATCCAAGCAATTAAATGGGAGCATCAAGTGGGAGGCCTCGATCACAAGGGAATCTGGGTAAAGACAATGATAGGTTCCACCCCCCTCTCTTAATTACCTTGTTCCTGTTAAGGTTGTTGTCTTATTATCGCTGTTTTCAATGAGAGGTCCAGCCTTAATGGACCCTCGCAAGAAAACCAAGCCATGTACTACGTTTTATGCACGCTAAGTACGAGAAATGAGAGAATATTACAAGCAGGAGGCTATAAAATTTAACATGAGAAAGAGATATGAAGAATCGGTGGATGCTTAGGGAGAGGGTCGGACCTATCCTATGGGACGCGTCGTCTGATATGTGTGGCGCAGGTGGAGGAAGTAGATTAAAGAACGAGTCATGAAAAGGCGAGAAATGAGAATAGGAGACATCCCATCGAAGTGGGGACGTGCAGGCAGCGATCAAAAATAATGAAGCATTAAAGGCATAAAGGTGAGCTTTGAAAAGCTGTGTTTTGTGGGGATCCTAATGCCAACTTTTTCCAACGACACTGCTCGTGAAGGATCCTCCTTCTCCTCCTCCTTCCTTCCTTCGCCAAACTCATCTCTGCGTAATTTTTCTGCATGCATGTGATCCTCACCTAATTTTCTCTCGCCATATCCCACTCATCACTTCTTTTCTAGCTGCCTTCTTTTTCAAATGCCTTTTTCCCCTTCCAAATCTTTTCACCCACCCATCTCTTGGATACGTGATTTATAACTAGATATAATATTATCCTATTTCTCTTAAAACCAACTTCAGCTAATTTAGCTTAATTAAAGAAATGAATAGAAAGAGACCTTCGCATGCATACAACCCGTTCACGAAACCAAAGTGAGTGAATTGGATAAGAAAATAACATCAAAAAATGTGTTCCACCATAGGATTTGCATATCATATGGACATCAGATAGGGGCGAAACCAGGCTGTGATTGAAAAGCATATTTATGTAATTTTCCTTTTGTCTTGCATCGTTTTCTTTCAAAATATAAATATAAAAAGTAAAGGGCAGCCAAACCAAGAGGGGCGTGCTGAAAATAGAAAGGGCAAAGAGGTAAAAGCGAAGCGGATGCTTATCTGCAGGGAGGAAGAAATTGACTAATGAAAAAGGTATGTTTTGGCAGTATACGGTAAAGCAATTTGATTTGAATTAATGATGAAGATGGGTTGGTTGGTGGGTCCCCTCACTTCACCGACCCTCTCTTTTCTTTCTGACTTCTTCATCAACCCTTCTTCATTATGTCCACCGATTTGCAGGAAAGTAGGAAACCATCCCATTTTCTCGTCCCCCTTCTCTGTATCATCTCGCACCGTTCCTCTGCTCAAAACGGCGTCATTTCATTCTGTGCCCCATCATCCCATCCCCTGCCCTGTTTTTTCAAACCTGTCGGCGCCACTACCTCACTCATTTCTCGACACATCTCCTCCCTCAACCCCTCCAAGTCTTTCCTCTGCTGACCTTTTTGTTGCAGAAACTTTGAAATGAAGTCAATCTGTTCGATATGTATGAAATGATTCAATTTGTTGTGAGCTTTTAAATACAAAGAACAATAATAATGATAATGATAATCCTATTAAATTCAAACACCTTCCACGACAAGTTCTTAAACTGGTTTATTACAATCCAAAAACCGTATTAATTACAGAACATGGAATATGCATAAAATATATTCTGAATTTGGGAAGAGTCACATGGGAAATGGTCCATCGTGTACAACGAGGGTCCCCCACACCCTCAAAATGTTGTCTTGTTGGTGAAGTATGGTTTGTGGGTGTTAGGTTGGCACTCGCAGTTACTAACATAAACGCATCATCATTTGTCAAAAGTCAAAACCAAGTACAGTTCGTGTTCTGTGCCTTTTTGTGTTTGGGACTTGGTCAATACCATATGCAAGTGAGCCTGCATTTCACTCCAGCTCGCTTATCTCTTCTTGGCTTAAACTCGGAACAGCCATACATATATATGAAACCGAGTCGTCAGGACTTGACTCAGCCTCATGGAAGCGGCGCTATGCTATTGCTCCTGGTTGTCGACACCTTCATCTGATTAACTAACACCTCATTTATTAAGAACCGAATATAGGAAGCATAATTGGATGAGCACCTTGGCGGTTTGACTTTGGCCTTATCAGGTTCGGGTACGCACTGCTTCTTCGTCCGAATGAACGGTGTTGTTTGCCGTCTTCTCTGCTCCAAGTTTTTCAAATTATTTTCTTCCCCATGCTTTTCTTCTGACCTGGTCGGTTTGACCTATGTGCTCTGTTTTCTTTTTCTCTAG